GCGGATCCGGAAGCTTGGAAATAGCTGCACTTAAGTCTCCATCTAAGTTGGCTATCCGTCCGCAGGGCAGGTACGCACCGCCGATAGCTAAGCTAGCGGCGTTGTTGAGGCGAACGCCAACGATTGGTAAGGCCTGTACTCGAAAAAAAAATACACCAGATAAAAGTGTTCGCCAAAAAATTTATTTAAAGTCGGATTTTCTTGAAACTTTCAGGGAATGAACATAATTACTTTATTCTATTTCCTTTCCATCGCTGAAAGCCCGCACCTTTCCCTTAAGACCCCTCATTACATTTTGTGCAATGGTGGAGCCGACCTTTTTGGTCACTTTCATCCATTCTTTCTTCAACTCCAGCTCGTTCTTAAACACCTTGGACGATTTTTCGAACTTTGGCCTTCATTATGGCCCAAAATCTTTCCACCGGACGAATCTCTGGTGAATTTGGGGGGTTGGCGGTTTTTGGTACAAAAACAACGTTATTGTCTCTGTACCAATCCAACGTCGATCGCGCGTAGTGGCATGATGCCAGGTCCGGCCAAAATAATGTCTCGCCTCCGTGGGACCGCAGGAAGGGCAACAGACGCTTCTGGAGGCACTCGGTGCGGTAAATTTTGCTGTTGATGATACCCATTGTGATGTACGGTTTACTCAGTTTACCGCATTGGCATATGGCCTGCCAGAGCAAGTATTTTTTGGCGAATTTGTCCACTTTCTTCTTCCTTATGTCTTCCGGAACATTAAACCGTGATTTGGCAACGTAGAACTCCAGCTCCGGTATCTGCTTTGCGTCTGCCTTGGTGTAGGTTTCGTCATCCATAACCACACACATCGGTTTCGTTAACCACTATCGATACAGTTTCCTTGCGCGGAATTTGGCCACCGTGTTTTGTTGATCACGCCGGTTCGGTGCCTTCCGGACATTGAATACATGAAGCCCAGCTCGTTTCATGGCTTGCTGAACGAACCTGGCGGAACATTTTGCCTTCAGAACCGCGTCGCGAATCGAAAGGATCGGATTACGCTTGAAATAATCCAACACCTTCCGGGCCTTCACAGGGTCAGCTGTCTTCGATTTTCTTCCACTTCCAGCCCGCCGCTCGGTCGCCTGGGACTACTTAAACGATTTTACCACCCCAGACACAGTTGTATGGGTGATTCCCAGTTGTATTCCGATCCATCTCATGGATTTCAATTCCCCGTCGATTTTCTTCTTGTTTCGATGACATCTCAATAACCACTGAACCGATTGTTATGAAATTTTGCACATGTAAACAATTCACTCCAAACTAGTTATACCCAGATTTTCATCAATGTTTACCCACGGATAAAAAAGTTACACACGGATAAAAATGGTGCATTTTTTTCGAGTACAAGCCTTAGGTCGGTTTGAAGGTCAAAAACTTGGTGTGGAATGCTCCTAAGCACCCCGATGACTACGGAGTGCCTGAAGCTACCGCAGTGCTTGTAGCACCAATCGTATCTCCCTCCCAGCGAACGATTGAGTTGGTCGGTTGTAACTTTATTGACCTCTTGTAGAGCGATTATCCAGGGGGCTTCGCTTTGGAAAAGGAGCTCCAATTCCCCTAGGCGGCCAAGGAATCCGTTTATATTCCACTGGAGAACAACGTTCACCGGCTTGGGCAGTGCAGGCGTGGAGTACGAGATGGTAGACTCACTGCATGTCGAGTAGGGCCTAGCCGCGCTGAGGGGAGGTTTAGGCATTCCATCTACGGTGTCGTAGATGCTAGGTACGTTCGTGCGACTGGTGGCGTCGATTTCGTCGGCCGAGACCGTGTCCGTCAGAGCTTCGCCAAGGATAAGTGGAGGCGTTCCATCACACAAATGCGAAGATGGCACATAATAATCGACTCACCCTTTACTAGCCTAGATGTTAAAATGTTGTGATTTTTAGAAAATTTTACTCATTTCAATGTACTCATTATAGCATCTCACAAATTAAAAAATTAAAAATATGATGATGTGACGTTACGCTTAAACAAACCGCCCTCCCCCGTTTATCACATTTGGTCACGTTTTCTTAAACCCCCTACCCCCTAGATGTGTGACGTAATTTATGGATGTAGTCTTTATTAGCACTTTAAAGCTAGCAACCACAAATGATTGAGTGCATTATGTCGTAGCCCTACATGCGCTTATCAAGCTTTCAGTAATGCTAGTTTGTATTGATTCTTCTATGCATTAACAATGCTGATATGCACCAAGGCTTCTTGGCATCAGAAATACCGAACTAGTTCAAATATAGGGCTATACCCAAGTAACAATTCAGTAACGATTTAGCATCCACTCTGATTTATAATGGTTTTATAATGGCAATGAACAATCCATTTAGTTTAAATATAGCATTTCAAAGTGTTAAACATTCCTGCTTAGTAATTCAGCTTTTTGCTGTTTTAAAAACCTTTTATAGTCTGGCAAGGAAGTCAAAAACTGTCTTGTTTTAAAACTAAAAAAACAGTTATCAATCCCTCCTTAAAACTGTTCTGTAATTCAAGCATAAACGTCATTACCAATTGTTTATTAATGTCTTGATGAAATACTTTATAAACGTATTCTATCATTATAAAAGCAACCATAAAACCATTAGGTTTTGCATTAGAGCAAAAAGCATTTATTGTTGCTTTTTAGGCTTTTTAAAGTGCATCATTAACTCCCCAATTACTCTGTTTACAAATTGAGCTTAAAAGATCGTTTCTCATAGTTGATAAATGCCAAATTTATGACAAGGAAATCTCGAAGGATAGACGAAGTAGGATGAAAAATTCAAGTCGATTTCAGCAAAATTTACTTCTTTAGAAGAACCAGCACACCATCAACGACTGACCATCTGGCGGCGAAGAGTAAAGTGAGCGTGGCCCTCAAATTCATAAAACATTGTCGAAATTTTTGAAAAATACCACCCTTCTCCAGATCTTGCGAATAGATTACAATCGAAATAACAACCGACAGCAAACCACTGCACTGTTAGTTAGCGGAGATTAGCTGGTTTCCGATCCATAGCAGCGATTTTATTCGGCGAAATAATCAATTCTTCGAAAATTTCATTCAAGCGTACATCCTAGCGTACATCCCTGCATCGTTGGATGGTGCACTTCTGTAACCATCCGAAAGAAGGGGATCTTTTTCGGGAACGACTGCGCCTCCAGCTGTTCGAAATGCGAAATGTTGTAAAACAGTATTGCAAACTGTATGAGTAATCAATTTCCCAATCTATGGGGAGAAAACCACCTGGAAGAACCCTGGATCCCACACCGCAACTTTCGAAAAATAAACAAACTTTGACGTTTAACTTTTTGCAGGCAACTTTGCCTCCATAAATGCTGCCATAAATCTGAACGGGTTAGGATCAAGCAAAATGGCTTTAGATAAATACAATTCAGCCTGCAAGTTGTCTTCATAAAAGCCATTTTAAAACCTTATTAATTTGTTAAGGAATTCTTGAAAGCAAAGCAACTTTTTCACAAATGACTCATGAAAATAAACTTTTATGCCACCGCCATGTTACAATTAGTTTGCTTGGTTTTTAAAATCTTTGATTTTCAATCTATATTTCCTTAGATATAACTATATTTTGGTAAATTTAGCAATGAGTAAACATTTAAATGCGAAAATAATAAAAAAATTCCCGACCAAGCTCGATCTGAAGAATATATATTTTTTTCAATGTTAAATAATTAGTCAAATCGACGTTTTACGAGGGTTGACTTAATTTTTTCGATGTTTTCACGTACATTTCACATAAAATTTTATATGGCACTTAAAACTAGACCACTTAATGAAAACTATTGTAATAAATTTGGATATTCAACCAGATTTTATACCATCAGTTTCTATTTTAATTATTTTGATATAATCGAATTCATAAATCCTTTTCTATCTTGATTGATGCTTTCCTATCGGATTTAGCAAGTAGCTAGGGGAAATGGCTTGGAAAGGGTTTTTATTGTTGCTAAATAGCTTTTATTGTAGCTGTCAAATGTTTCTCAAAACAACCTTTTGCAGTAAATCAATCTTGAAGAGCTTCGAGAATACACCCTTCAGAACCATCTCCAGGGTGGGCCAACTAGACATATTCTAGTCTTAATGAGGTTTTGATGGATGCATTAATGACAAAATAGCCTTGACCAGAGTTTTATGAATGTTGTTTTATAGTTGCTTTGTAGTATTTCATAAAACTTAAAATGTTACTTGGGTAGATTTATGCTTTTATTTACTTATAGTACGTTCAGACTACAGAGTTATAACATGTTATAGCGCTATCTTGATGGTGGTTTCTGTGTTGCAATTATTTGACAACCGTTATAACATGTTATAACTGCTCAGTCTGGACAGCGTTTTAGAGATGTAGCTGTTTTTATTAGTTATGTTTATTTCAAGTATGACGGACACGAGTTTCTAATGACGAAGTGTGATACACCCTTTCAAAGGACTGAGACGGAAGACTTTGCCAACTACTTCAAACCATTCGATGATATTTTTATTATAGTTACTTTTTCACTCTTGGGTTATTCGTGACTTAGGCGTGCGAGATATGGGCCGTCCCCATTCGGTTATAATAAACAGAACGTACCTATCCACCTTTAATATTTATGCTAGACTGTCAACGGAAGGATGGTTGACAATGACAAATTGAAATTGGAAATAGCAGAAAAATAATTGCATGATTTTGGAAAACACATTAGTTGCCGTAAGATTGCTATCATGTAAATCAGTATTATCGTTTTTGATTGAGTATTACATGAATTCACACACACAAAATATAAGCAGAATAGCATATTCGTCTACTTAAAGAACATACCACCGGTTAGTCTTACTGGAGGTTAGTAATTTCAGGAAAGATTAGCTTTGTCAACGGAAAAAGAGGCTTTCTCACAATTGACAGTTGAAAGGAGAGACACTCACACTGACATCGAACACCGAACACACAACACAGTTAGTAGGTACATTGACGGGTTGATTGAAAAGCCAAACAAACACTCACGGGTCCATCTCCTGGCTGTGCAAGGAATCGTCCGATTCGGGTACCAGACCAATCCTCCCGTAGGCATTGGTCGATGTGGGGGGCCGCAAATTTTTCGGCATGTTCTCTCCTCTGTTCTGTGTGTTTTCGAGTGGATAATTGCTGCTTTGCGTGATGTGTTATGAACGTGGTGGTGGTGGCTACAAATTTATTGCTTCACTGGACACAATCGAATTATTCAACAAGCACAATGATCAATGCGGTGTGGGTGAACAACTAAATGTACGATTATGATTTTTCAACTTCAGCGTGGTGCAGCACTACAAATCTGGGCTGCGTTTGATGCAAATTGCAAAATTACCAATGGACCGATACTAAACAAACACTAACAACACTTTAAATTTAGAATTTCATACGAGGCCACAATTTTGAATTTCTTCTTCCGAATTGAACTTGGATTGATGGAACCAGAAAAGGGTGTCTTGATTTCGATGTGTGATTTGATGTTTCTTTTTTTTTTTGAATTTTGCTTCTTTCTCTTTTCTTCGGTGACAGATTTACAATGTCAATTATAGTATTTTCCAATTGCTACCACTTTTCTTGGCGAGCTTGCAAATCTAGTACAACTGCGACACGAGCTTGCCGAGGCGAGATGAGATGATCCTGATTCAGGCGAATTGTGAAGGTGTGGCCAATTTTCGTCACTAGCAGCCACATCAAGCTACAGATGAAAAGTGCACTCTGTTGGAAAAGAAAATAATATTGGATAAATATTGATGCACGTGATCGAGCGGTTGATCGTTTGATTTGGCATTGGGTATGTTGTTGATTTTTTGGGATGATTGACGAAAAGAGGTGAGAGAAGATGTTGCATAAATGTTGATCAAACTTGACACAATTGATAGAATACAAAGAGTATGGATTTTCCCGTATTTTTTTTAGTGATAAAGCTAAAGAACGGCGTTTCAGGAGCTCAATAGCTTAACATGAAATTCAAAATTCGGGTACCCTGTATGCAGCAATGAGGGATTGAAACTTTTGCCGTTTTTTACTACACTAGCGTGCGCGACACTCATGCTCTACCGTCGCCTCCCTCACGCAACACCAACCGTAGAACAGCATTCGAGCAGAAAGAAAATTATCAAATAACTATCATATGACCATGTGTAATTTATTTTTTTTATTTTGAGGGAAAAGCCCACACTAGTGGGCGCAAAACCTCATCATTTCAGCACCAACAGACAACATGGAATCCTACAGATACATTTGCTTGAACTAAGTCGTAAACATATAAAAAGATATTAATGATAACATAATTAACTTAATTTAAATACAGAAAACAGAAACCGTCAGGAAGTTAAAAGTACATTATACAACAGATTCTTAAGCCTAATACGGGAGATATTAAAATCAAAGCAGTTATAAAATTTGTTGAAAATCTTGCACATGCTAGTTAACGGCTCATTGCGCCGTAGTTTGTGCGAGAAGCCGGGATGTTGAAAAAATAATAAGAACGTAAATTTACGCGTCTGATATTTACATTCAACTGCTGCAGAAGTGAACTGCAATTAATGTCCGATCGTAGGAGATCAGCGATGAAGGTAGCCTTAGAGACGCTTCGGCGAACACTAAGTAATTGTAGGGATATCAAATTACAGCATTTTTCATAATTAGGTAGATTGAAAGGATCACTTCAGGGTAGCCAAAGAAGGGCGAAACGTACAAATCTTCGCTGAATGGCCTCAATACGATTCACCCTGTTGCTGTAAAAAGGAGCCCATGCTACGGAACAGTACTCTAATGTGGAGCAATAGAGTGTTTTTAAACAGAAAATGTCCCTAAAGTCTTTGGCGAAACGAAAAATTAAACCAAGTTGAGAAGATGCCTTAGCAGAAACATAAGCCACATGGTCCTTGAAGGTGAGTTGTGAATCAAGTAGGACGTCTTTAATGGTAGATTCACAGCTTAATATTTGCTCCTGCAGGGGTTGTAAGCATAACAGATAGATGACTTTTTACTGGAAAACGTTATAATGGCACATTTAATACCATCCTGTTCTTGTCACACCAAACAGTAAAAACGTTCAGCTGCTGCTGAAGAAACCATGCATCACTTTGATCTATGATGACAAAGTATAGTTTGAAATCATCAGCATAAGACAGCTTCAGGCAACGGATCGAAAAGTGAACGTCATTCGGATGCAATAAAAATATGAACGGTCCCAGATGACTGCCTTGAGGAACACCAGAAGAAACAGCGAACGGTTGAGAAAAATGATCTCCAATCTTCACTGACATACGTCGACCGGTGAGGTATGAGCGAAGCCAATCAAGAAGGTAACCGTGAAAACCAAGTCGCTCTAGTTTGGCCACTGCAATCTCGTGATTGATTTTATCAAAAGCATCAGAAATATCGGTGTAGATAGCATCCACTTGATGACCTTTTTCCATCTCGCGTATGATTGTTGATGTGTATTGAACGAGATTTGTAGCGGTTGACCTCTTCGGCATAAATCCGTGTTGTTCAGTCGCGGTCACGATGTAACTAGAGCATGTGAGTTTTAAATAATCTAGTACCAATTGTTCAAAAAGTTTTGACACTGCACACAAAGCAGGGCAGCAGTTCCATTTGAAATGACGATTTTTTTAAATTTTTTGATCGACCTTCTACGATTATGTTGAAACTTTGCACAGTTGTTTGTTATTGTCCAACATGCCATCTTACATATTTGGTTCCCTAGTTTTGTACACGACTAACACTTGAAAGGGCTTATGCAAAAATGATACGCATGAATAGAAAAACATATATCTTGCGAACGATTTGTTTGATTGAGATGGTGTCTTGGAAGAAGTTGGGGACAAGTATTGTACCTTTCAAGAAAAATATACAGTGTAAAAAATTGTATTTAAAAAAAATCAAAATTATCAAAAAAAAATTAAAATTACTCAAATTGCATATTTTTGTTTAATTGTTTTGTTTTATATTTATTTTGTAGTTTAGATAAAGTAATACCTACTGACACTGTGCATTTGCTGGGCGCATCATAAACAAAAAAGTTATGAATTATTGTAAAAATAAGTATTTTCCAAAGTACTACCAATAGCTATCGAATATCTTTAAAATAGTGTTAATATTAAAACACATTTAATTTACAACAAAAAAACTCAAAATGGTTAAATTTAAAGTTGTTATTTTCGAGATACTCGTAGGTTAAAAATTCACTTGTCGCATAATTTGAGCAATTTTCACTCTTTTGAGATGTTATTCGTGAGTGTTCAATCTTGAAAGTATACTTTGAAAGGCTGTTCAATCATACTCATGAGTTAAGATATAATTAATTATGAGTAAGAGACGGTATGGGAAAAGTGTATTTTTCTGTTTGGCCCCATATACGGCTAGCTAGTTTAGCTAGTTAGTTATATCTTAACTCATGCGCATGATTGAAAAACTGTGAACAGCAAAGTTTAAGGAAATTAATTGGGCTTTTTGTTAAAAATAACAACTTTGGGCAATTTAAGCATTATGAGATTTTTTTGTAAATTTAATGTGTTTTAATATTAACACTATTTCAAAGATATTCGATAACCATCGGTAGTATTTTGGAAAATACTTATTTTTTCAATAATTCATAACTTTTTTAATTATGATTTGCCCAGCAAATACACAGTATCAATAGGTTTTTCTTTACCTAAGCTACATAATAAATATAAAAAAAATTGCAATTTGAGTAATTTTAATTTTTTTTTGATAATTTTGATTTTTTTTGTAAAAAAAATATAAATTTTTACAGTGTATATTTTTTCTAGGAAGGCACAATACTTGTCCGCAACTTCTTCTAAGACACCATCTCGATCAAACAAATCGTTGACGAGATACATATTTTTCTATTGATGCGTATCATTTTTGCATAAGCCCTTTTCAAGTGTTGGTCGTGTGCAAAACTAGGGAACCATATATGTAAAATGGCATGTTGGGCAATAACAAACAACTGTGCAAAGTTTCATCATAATTGTAAAAGGTCGATCCGAAACGATTTGCGAATCTGTGTGAATCTGAATCTGATCTGAATCTACTCAGGGATACCACGGTAGTTGGACACCGACTGCTTATTGCCTTTTTTTAAGACAGGGAAAACAAAAGAATCCATCCAGCAGTCGGGAAAGATTCCAAATCCAAAAAGAGATTGAAGATGGATGCTAACGGTGCGGCCAGCACTCCAATACAGTTCTTAATAACCGCGGAAGGTATTCTGTCAGGGCCAGTGCTGAAATAGTTTTGGGCGGATGCAGCCCAACAGCAGAAAGTACGGGACCATCACTTACGGCGGCTACGATGTGCTTGTTAGGTAAATTTTCTTTGACGAAGACACTGCTGAATTGTGACATGAACAGATCAGCGATTCCCTCTGTATCTTCTTGATCCGTATTTTGTACATAGTAGAAGGTAAGCCCGATTCCTTCCGTTGATCGTTCACATGATTCCAGAAGCTCTTGGGATTGGCTTTGAGTTTAGTTTGTAGATGGCGCTTGATAAAGCGGTTTGTTGAGCCGCTTATACTGTTTGTTAACGAGGTTGTACTTCCTCGTTCTAATTCTTGAAAAATGTGTAAATTAAACCATTTCTGATTAGTAAAATGTTTTTACTAGGAAATCATTGCTTGCTTTTTTCAGAATTCACACAAGCACTACATTAGCAGCACTTATTATGAGACAAACTATAACACATAAATACGTGACGATCCTCGGCGACAATGTCGTATGACAGAGATTGTCATATGAAATTTTAGTTTGGTACTGTAAATTGATAGCTTGTTTTGAAGGGTCGAAAGCAAAGGCAGCCGAATGTCACAGAAAATGTGTCGATCATAGTAATCCTACATATAGAGATTCACGGAAGCGGCCATCTTGAGCCAATCGAGCAGCGAGAACTGTCAAAATTTGAGCCAAACGAACATTCTGATTAGAAAATATTCAGAAGATTTCTTATTGGGTTGAGAAGTACTGTAATCGGGGTGAAATAAGTTCAAACAAAACGTTTTTTAATTTAAAAAAAAAAACATTATAGCAGTGAAATGCGTACTTTAACTTAAGAGAGAAAATACAAATGCGTGTGTGAAGTAGTACTGAAAGAAGCTTTTAGTTTTAAGTAAATACATACCACTCAATAATAATCATTGTAACATACACTGCACAAACGCATAGAATCCTCTAAGGAAAAATCTGCCGGTGGTCCGTAAAACTCAGTAGTGTGTTTTTCGGAAACCTGAAAAAAGCTCACAATTTTTGCACTCGTTGCATTTCCACGACCACGGTTCACCATTTCACTAAGAATTCAAATAACGTAAATAAACAAACTCATACCGTAGACATACGGTAAAGTCACGCACAAAGCTGGAACATTTTGCTCTGCGGTAAGTGTTGGCAGGTTATGAGAACGAAACGAATCACGTTGCCAAATCGTCTGATGATATTTCCGCGAATCTCTGTATATAGGATTGCTAGTCAACCAGTGCTGCAAAATCTTGACAATACACGGTGATATTCAAAATTCTGCTTTGGTCACTCATTTGAGCTAACAGTCATCGTCAAGACAAACCATGTCAACTATCAGTGACAAAGCTGTCAGTGACGAACATGTGCTGATTTATTTTTATTAGCTAAGTTTAAAACGAAATTGAATTACTTGAACAAAACAATTACATGGAACCGTTAAAGTGAACAAGCATCTACGTCCTGAACTGCTTGGATAACAATCATGTGGCTCAGAATGCAAGAAATTACACTTTTTGTTACCAGGTTAATCTTTGCCATTTACGAAAAATTTAATGAGATTTTGACAAAGTTCTCTTTTTTTAGGGTCAAGGCCATCAATATTAATGATCAACCTCTGTAAATTTGTTTACCAATATTATTTTAAATTATCGAAGTTTTGCCTTCGTCATCTTCTCTTGAGAATTTATTTATTGAATCGAAATAAGATTTAAGCTAGTTCTTATGCAGGGAGTGTACTCATTTTGCTAATTAAAATTCCCTGAGTTTCCTACCTTTTTACAGAACTTTTACTTTTACGGAAACTTCATAAGAAAGCTGTTTTCTAATTGCGTTACAAAATATGTTATTTTTGGTAGAACAGCCATTTAATTTCCAAAAACGATTTTATTACATGGCAATCAATTTTTAAGAGAACAGTTTTACAATCCAAACCATTCATAGTGGAAGTTTTATCATTTACTTAAGTCTAAGATCTCATTAAAAACTAAAGCTTTAATGTTTAGTACTCCAAGTCCAAGATCTAGAAAAATTTTCAAAGTGTTAGAAGTTCAGATATAAAAAAAGATTGAAGTTTAAGACATTTGATTAACTTAAAGTCCGCAATCTTAAACATATTTCAAAGATTCTTTGCTAGTTGGTCATGTTCCCTAATCTTGGAAATTTCTCCAAGTCAGGAATATTTAATTTTAAATAAATCTTCATTCAAGTGTTTCAAGTGCCAGAAGCTTGCAGCTGACATTGGAGGCATTTGGTGAGATTCTTCCACAATATTTAAATACCATTCATTACAGGGGAAATGGCTCTAATGTTGGCCTATGGATCTAAGATTGGGCCCATCGCTAAAAATCTGCTATTTATCAATTTTATCTAGTTGAACGCGTCATTGGGACGGTACTTATGAATATTTTTGGTCGCTATTGAAAATTTAGTCGATTGCTGAATTTATGTATGGGCCCAAATTAGGGGTATTTAGGCCAACATTACATCCATTTCCCCTATTACTGTTACATCCAATCCTAATCTAACTCGGAGCGTTTGGTACGGTATGTCCACGCATCCTTCCACCCCTGAAGATTTACGAAATGTATCGCTGTTTAAATTAGTTTATTTAAACTCGAATCATTTCACAGAATCAACTTTGCGGCAAATGCAACGCAGTAGGCTTGGCCGTATTGCTGTTTGTGTCATATCTCAGATAAACTGCAAGCATCAATGTTGACAAGAAAAATTATTAGGTCTTACCTAACCTAATCTAACCTAAATTTTCCAGGATGCTTTCTCGTACTGGCTGCGTTTGTATTATATTAGATTAGATTAGATTAGATTAGATTAGATTAGATTAGATTAGATTAGATTAGTTTAGATTATATTAGATTAGAACATTAGCGAAATTACCGTATGAAACCACACACTTAGATTTAAAAGTGAAAATTTTGCCGACATTCAGTTAACAAACGAGACTTTTGCCGAGAGAAATAAGTGCTGAGCCTGCTCGGTGGTGCCAATCTCGGCAAAAAAATCTAAGTGTGCAGGGTTGCTTCCATTCATTTTGGATAAAAAAAATATGTATATGGTATTATGGTACTATGAGATGTTTTAATTATAGTTTGTATATGTAAGCTACAATAAGGCGACTCTCATAACGTGAAATAGGTCCACACATAAATTCATCAATCGACTAAATTTTCAATAGCGACCAAAAATATCCATTAGTACCGTCCCAATGACGCGTTCATCTATATAAAATTGATAAATAGCAGATTTTCTGCGATGGGCTCAATCTTAGATCCATAGGCCAACATTAGAGCTATTTCCCCTATCTTATGATTCTATAATCCCATAAAAATATGTTAAATGAATGGAAGTAATCCTAGATGAAACCCCTAGTTTCTGCACACTTAGAAATACTTAATATTACACGTGACGTTGCATTCATTTCGTGCATTCATTTACATTCATTTGCCCCTAACTTTTTTAATGAACATAATTCCGCAAAATGATGTATAGAGCTTTTGTAGGTTTTATTATTAGCTACAACTTTTGTGATCCGTATCTCTTATGCATGACGAACCAGCGCAAATAGAATACACTACTGTTTTTCAGTGAATGTGTTTTACATTCACTGAAAAACAGTAACGAGTTCTGCCCACTCTAATTCATGATGCATAAGAGATACAGATTTGAGTTACTGGCAAAAGTTGTAGCTTATAACAAAACCTACGAAAGCTCCATACTTCATTTTGCGGAATTCTGTTGATGAAAAAAGTTAGGGGCAAATGAATGTAAATGAATGCATGAAATGAATGTAAATGATTTTCCTTGCCTGATACTGACATATACTGCCCATAATCGCATATCAGTCCCATATGGATAGGAAATCAAGCAAAGATGGGACTGATATGCGATTATGGGTAGTATACGAGCGTCAATATTGACATAAAATTTAATCATAATAGACGCGAAATTCAGCTCAATCAAACGTACCGAACTTTTCAGTCTCGGAGCACTTCTTTATTTTACATGACATGTCTGTTTACGTCTCATCCTTTATGTCAAAGATGGATTCCGTCACGTATAAGATTAGGTATTTCTAAGTGTGTAGTTTAAATTCACATTTAGGAGCTACTGTATAAATACAAAATACCATTTTTAATCTGTATTCTGACAGTTTCTCAATATGTAGAGTGGACATCAACGACACTCGCATTCTCTCTCTCTAATGTGTAGATTATTTTGGTGCGATGATGAAATCTCATTTATTTACATTCGAAAACTTTAAATCGTCTCCCATGAAAACCACATGATCCCCAACCTGAACAATTGAATCACAAGCAAGCAATCACCCGAAGCAAGTTGAACAAGGTCAGTTCCGTTGCTTCATCCCATTTTTTGTTTGTTTTGTCGGATGCCTCTTCCAAAAACGGACAACGTTTCTTATCAATTGTGTCAAGCTCTTTTGTCAAACCAGCGGTACTCTAGTGTGCAACCAATACTACTACAAAAGCGGTGCTAAGCTGTTGCACAACGCTAACGCTAATACTCGTTTGACGTGGACCTACTTCAAAGCGTAACGAAAGACTACCGAAATACAGAGTTGATAATGGTTTCCGCGTTCCAAAGCCGGTTCAACTCTTTCAATTTCCGTACAGATAAAAAAAATGCAACAAAAGTCACTATCGAATCCCGCTACAATTTTCCCATAAAAGTCAATCAGTAGGAAACCAACTTACTTTTCCACATGATTCTTCGCAATTTTCTTCTTATCACACTTTTCACTTCGGTAGAGTTTTCCAATCCAATTAGACACAAAAAAAAACTCACTCGCCACAGGCAGACAAACAGTCTTGGCCGTTTCTCACTTTCTTTTCGTCGTCGTAGTCGTCGTCGTCAGCGTCACCATGGTCAAGGATGGATGGCACACACGAACTCCGAGGACGCCACCAAACTGCAATATCGCGTGCAATCACCACCGCCGATTGCTTCACTTTGCAGGCCTTCCACCCCCTTTTCGGTTGTGATTTTCAAGGCCACATCAACCACCGTGCAACTGTAGATGCCAAGGTGCACACTTTGTGCATACACTCGATTTGCTTTTAAATTAAATTAAAAATCACTCCAGCCGTCGTTCACCTTTACACCACAAACCACTCCCGGACAAACAAACGTGTGCCTCACAAGAACCTACGCGATCCTTTGCTACGCTTCTCCACTCTCACTCCAGATCACTCACTTCAGAGCACAATCAAAGCTGATCATTGTCGGACAAACTAGGGTCACGTCACTACCATGACCTAACTCACACACAAAAATCCACTGTGAGCCGGTCTGAATCAGGCCCGAATTAGTCTAGAACTAAAACTCTCCGTCCACTGTCTGTCGACTGCGATCGATGGTCCAGTCGGTTGAGCTGCTGGGAGAGCGAGCAAGATCCGATCGTGATCCCCGAATACTCGATTTGTGTGTGCAATTGTGTGCGCTGCTCTACCACCACCACCACCAGGGACGGGGTTATTTCTGAAATCTCTGAAATATAAATCGAAAGTGAAGGAAAAATTATTGTACGATTTATTACAAGCAGACTTGGGGCTTGGCTTGGCTTCGAATGTGTGTAGGATTTTTTGTTACACCAAGATGTGAGTAATGAGATGGAACTATTTTTCGAAGACGACCGCGGGTGTTCGATGGGATCAAGACGGGAAAACGGCGAAAATGTGTTACAGATGTGGAGACGTTCTGCCTTGTCCCTTCGGAATGTTATTTCAGGGCTTTGGTTCGAGATCGTTAAATTGTGGTTGGCAAAATTGAGGTTGCATTGTTTCGGAAGAGACGGATGATCGGACATTTCTGGGAGGAGGAAAAGGTGCTGCAATTTTACGACTGATGGGGATTAGAGCTTATTCCTTAGATAGTTCCCGGATCTAACCTCAACATAAATAGAAACAAGTCATTCGGAATTCTTTATCTTTTCCGTTTTCTTCTTATACCATTACACGGCCGATGATAGTAAATCAGTAACTGAGTCGAATTCAACTCAAGATTGTAAGAAATAGGTTTACTCAGTGAGTGAGTAAACCTATTTCTTACAATCTTGAAGGTAGTAAGACTTAGGTATGAAGGATAGGAGACAAAAATCCTCAAATGTTCAACTAGTTTAGCAGCAAAATGCTTAATCAGGGTACCTGGACTCAGTTGAGAATTTTTATTTAAGAAATTATTTCTGCAGGTTTCACAGATTTTTGACAACGATTCTATTTATGTCTATTACAGAGCTTCATTTCTTTTTTTCTCTGACGTTTGTGAATTGTACAAGTATTAGTGCAGAACTTTGGATAAATTTACAGGTTTTCTTGCACTGATACTTATAATTTACCCAAATTTCTGCACTAATACTGCATTTCACAAACGTCAGAGAAGTCTATTTTGATTTTGACATTTGCTCTACAATTAACAATAAGGAGCCCAAAATTTTGCAAGCGCATAGCTAAAATCCGAACTACTCGCACTTCAAACAGACTTCAAATAGCTTCCTGGGTATGAGCTTTATACGGCAACCGAAAGGGGAAAAGTGGCAGGCATTTTCAAGCATATGAAACTGTCGAAGTTCGCTAATCAATATCTAGTTTGGCAGGCTGTACCTGTGGCCTGAAAAGCGACATTTTCCTTGCAACCGGGACCTTCGACCAGGAAATTTGCGTGCATAATGACATTACGGAAAAAAGGCCATGTGCCGCCAACAACGTGCCGCTGGTGCCCAAGACCAAGAACCCTCGCAACACATCAGAGCTCAGCCCAATCGAAAGAAAATTGGGTCATCATCAAGCGGAACCAGAAGAAGACCCAAAAACTGTTGGAAGCAAGAAGCAGTTAAAGGCAAACTGGCGTTCTGCGGCGATCAAAGTGGACGAGCTCGCTGTACAGAATCTGATGGCAGGAGTTAAAAGAAAGACACGGCAATTCGGATTCGGTCAACCAGAAGTTTAGCTGAATATTTTTTCTATATTTTCTTCTAATTGAACTTAAAAAAGATAAATAATTAGATCTTTTTAATAAAAAAAAATAATCAATTTACACGCAGTTTTGGTTGACCAAATTTTGATCGTAACACCCTTTATGCAACCGAAAAATTAAGGAAACCTACAATTTTGAATGGACACAACCCACAAACTAGATTTTAGTTTCTCTCTTCTTAAAAACTATGAACTGTCGAGGTAATTTTGCTCGCTTTCTCAAACGCTTAAGCGTCATAGTAATCCTCATCCTCGGAATACGCCCAATCTTCGTCCATCGCGGCCTCAACATCCACCACATTCAACTGCTCAATGTACTCATCGGGTAAATAGGGAATGCAGAATGCATTCTCTCCATTCTCCAGCAAATCCTTCTGCTCTTCTTCTCTTATCACCGTCCTCTCCAGGTTAGGCCAAGCGAGCTTAAGTTTCGCAAACATACCGTCCGAATAGCTCCAATCGGTAATGATTTCACACGATTTCAACTTCCTACAGTGCGTCATCGCGGCCTGGAACACTTCCGAATGGCACCGCCGTAGCTTGATGAATTCCAGTTGCTTCGTCTGGCAGAATATCTCATCCCACTTGAATTCGACTTCTGATTGCCTTTGGGTGACCTCTGCCAGATCAAGCCGTCGGATATGTTCCATACTTACTTTGACTACATCGCAGAATACGTTGTCTCCCAGACGTACGCGGAGTTCGGTGAGTTGGTTACATTCGCGTAGGATTAGCGGTGCAATCGACATCTTTTCGAGCCAGAACCCGGTCGTGTACTCCCAGTAGTTGGATCTGATCCGGAACTGTAGGTTGGCACTGTGAAGCTTCGGTGCGAAGACGATGAACTGCGTAGCCACGGAAACCTCTGGAACCCCGTAGAACTCGATCTGTTTCGGCTCCTCCCAGCTGAACCGACGAAGCTCCGGTAGGTGAAGGTTGAATCCGGGTTTCTGGCGGGATCTGAGTATTGAAATTTCCACCGGTAGAAATGTGATGTATAGTTCTTCGAGTTTGATAAACAAATCTTTCGTGACTTTGAAGATCTCGAGCAACTTTTCCGTTGAATCCACTGTTAGGTATAGATGTTTGAGATTGCATTTTCGTTTGTAGTGCTCAACCACATCGTAGATCAGATTGGCCTTCCGGGGCGTGGTGAATTCCGTCAAACTGATATCGAGGGCCGTGTAGCGTATAGTGCTCTTCTTCGCAGCTTTGAAGTCTGTTTGCGGGTGGAGGCGTAGAGCCACGTTCCGGAGTGGCAATATTGCTTCGACGGCGATCTTCCAACTGTGACACACGAGACACGAATTGAGCAGCTCGGCTACGGACAAATAGTTGAAAATGTTCTGCTTCATCTCCAACGGGAGATCACTGAAGGATGCCATGTCCTCGAATATGGCGGTGAAGTTTAAGACGTACTAGTAGCGGCGACAATTGAAGGTGAAATCTTATATCTATGCTAGGTAGAAATTATTTGCCTGATCTTTCGTACCAAAATATCAGTCGTACGAGTACTACAACTAGGTAGTTATGGAAAATAGCAAAGTTACCTTGTTATGACAATGAAAGGTACAGGTAGCATAAAGGCCAAACATGTCCGAGGGCTGGTTAAAATCAAAACATCATGCAAATGATCCAAATTTCGTGTGCAGAAACTGAACTATAAACTATGCTCATAATCTATTCCATTCGTTCCCAGATTCTCCTCCTACACAGCACGGTAGCTTTCCGTGTTTGTTTTCATTTCGAGCAAGCTTTTGAACCTGAACTGAATAAGAAGTATCAGTTCTGCCTCCCCCGAGGCACGCTCCATATTCGAGCCCAAGTTGAAGGGAAAATGTTGTGTTGCTCTGACAACAGCACCACCACCAACAACAACAACATCACCAATGGCACTTGAATAAGGTGTTGCGACGAGGTTGCGACACGGGGAAAATTAGGACAGGCGACGTCGCTAGGGAAATTCAGCCTGTTGTGAAAATGATTTCAAAGGCGATTTGTGTGCAAAATATCCGAGCAGAAGATATAGGTAGGTGAGAATTGCTACACTACTGACTGGCTGCACCGAGTTCATGCGGTGACCGAGTTTTCCACCGAAGCGAAGATGCAACCTCCATCCACCCGCGTTCCGGCCTGGTCTGAACGAAATGTTGACACCGGTTGACAGCCAGTGGTGATGCCGGTGTCGAGAGGGATGGCATTATCCTATCAATTTGAATGAAGTTTATTTTTAGATCCCGATGAATATGATGGGGAATGGAAAATGTGTCTCCCAGTGTGCAATCGGCTGTACAATGCATTTCGCTTGGAGCTTGGTGCCAGTATGTTCACATGGTGGGGAGCACGACTTTATGTGAACCACTGACTGGATGGACACTGTCATTGGACAGGGTGACAATTCCGGATACAGAGAACATGCTTTCGATGTATTATTTCAGTTCTCGTGTTATTTTTCTTTTTCATTAACCCACAGAAGCCCCCCTCCATGAACTGTCTACGTGATTTATGAACAGCCCTCCAATTGTCATTTTCGTTTGAGATTGTAAGAAGACATTTGATTTTCGCATACATTTTGAAGATATTTCATATATTACGAAGACTTGTGAAGACATATGAAGACAGTTGGAAAGTGTAGTAGACTTTTAAATATGTTTTAAACTTTTGAGTAGGCAAGTAAAGATTATGACTTCAGTTTGCTTTGCTTATTTGCTGAATTGAATTTACTGACTCGTCCTGGCTTTTCAGGACTTCAACTGTTCGATCAAGCTTAATAACCTCTGATTGTCCTCAACATGTCACTGTATGAAGGGCCAAAAACGGGATGGTAGAGAATCTCTTTCCAGCCACATGATCATACAATTGGTCAAAAAACGAGCTGTCCGACAGAAGGATACCCCAATGAGTATGGAGAAGAGCCCGCCTTTTTTCCACGAGATGTTAACAACAGGGAGTTGACAATTTCACTCTCCCCATCCAAATCGCTTCAATTATATGCCTTGATGGTCACTCCCAATCCCAGCATTGTTTTGTATATATGAGCAATAATAAAAATTAAAACTTTAAAACGATCTCACCAACATTCGCTGTTTCTTCACCCTTCTTTCCATTTTTCGCGCCTATTTGTGAACTCGTTGTCCTTCTCTACATCATTGCTAGTCGCTACTAGTCTCCCATGTTATACGATATTTCGACGTCCATTATCTTTGTATCACAGACAAACAGACATAACACATTGAATATTTCTCACTGTAAAACATCGTCGTTAAAACATTACCGCCATCTGTTGAGTACACTGTGGTGGGCACTACACTGAACAGATGGCGGTAGTGTGTAAACGTCAAACGCAAGGGAATTGACTATGCGCGCCACAGGTGGCGGTACTACCAACTACAATACTTTTAAATTGACCGTTAAATGCTTGTTCGATGAACAACTAGCGAGTGTTATGTCTGTTTGTCTGTGTTTGTATGATGATCTTGAGTTCCTAGTTGCGTCTTATAAAACCGTAACACCAAG